AATCAAAGAAGCTGAGCAGTTCTGCTCCACCTGCTAGCAGAATATGATTGGAAGAGCGCGGATTTTTACGCATTTTCTTCATAATTTTCTGGAATTATATTCTCCTGTTGTTAAACTTGCTAATGCTATTGGTGCACCACATTACAAAAGGACGTTATCCTTGTTTCGCCATGCATATACTACGTAAAATGTGATTAATCTGGAGCATTTGTGTAAGCTATTTCACAGAAACTTGTGCAGATGTCCTCGGCATCGAATCAGTCAGGCCCAAAATCATCTAGCACTCCCAACAATTGGATGGGAGCGGCATGATCAGTCTTGGCTGCACTAACGTTGAAGCTAAACAAAGGCCAATGCCGACTTAGTTCCTTGCTATGCTAGCAGATCACTTTAAGATGTTGGGAGCTTTTTGATTTAGGCAGTCTGCCAGAAAGCAAAAAGTAAATATTCGACCCCATCGCCTGTGTTTGTTGCTTTAAGGACGCGTAAAAACGTCTAGCTTTGCCGAACCGAGCCTAGATGAGCTTAAATATAACCCAAATATTACCATCTGAATGATCGCTTTTCCAAGTATTGCCAGCTGCTCGCAATTCAGCTGCGTGTCATTCATGTAGCGAAGAATCATCGCAAACATTTCTAGTGATTTTGAATACTCATCCTCAGTATCCTTGTGCAGGAACGGGCTAGCGATCGGCTCGCGACGCACTTCTAATATGTGACCCTGAAAACGCATTTGCTAGACATCAATCACAACTGGCGAAAACTTGCTTCAAGTAATCGGACGTGCTCGGACTGCGAGGAAGTGTATGTTTGACTCTTTTTTTTGCAGAATTTTAGATTTTTTCGTTGTTCCGAGCTGTTTTACGTCAACATCGCCTTATTTGTGAAATCTGCTATAAGAGCTTGATTTATTTGCAGTGCTTTAAACTTAAGAATAATTATCTATTTAGATACTTTGGTGATAGCGTAGTTCTGTCACGAAGTGCAGTTGGCTGAAAGCTGTATATCTGGCAGTTCCGCTGTACATCTAGTACACCTAGTGTTGCGCCACTTAATAATATTTTGCTGACGGTCTTTTTTTTTCGCTTCAGGTCATGTTGGTGTTCTGCATGGTAATAGAGGCAACATGCATTTCAATCTCTTAAGTTCAATATTCTCTGATTTTTTATGCACATCTGGAGACGTAATATCGTAACGAATTAAAACCTGCGTTATCAGTCCAAAAAAAAGCAATGTGTTATCCATAAAATTTGTATGTCACAGTGTAGTCCAGACAAGCAATTTACAAATCTTTGTTTAAAAACCTTAAAATTGCGTTCAGCGAATTGTTCGAGCGTTTGCACAGGAAGTTGCAGTGGTTTACCAATACGTTTGTTGAATGGAATATAATGGTGTACAGTCCGAATATCTGTCATCCTGTAATCCTTTACAACTTGCACACTTGTTTTGTCTGCTTAGAAAAATTTTTGCGGTTTTACTTGGAGGATTTTTTCACTAACAAACAGCTAAAAGAGAAGGGCAAGGTATCGCTCTGATCTAACTGAAATGTTTGTGATGCTTGATTTCGGAAAAAGATTTCTCACGAGACGGGAAATTTCATGGACAAATTTCTCCTCTTTCTGAATATCTGGATCATTTCCAAACGAAATTGAAAAGACAGCTAAATCAAGCCAGGCTGGTGACGGGCAGTACTTGGTGCAATTCAAAATATCGACAACTCCTCATCGATGGTAAGGTGACTTCTTGCTGGCCAGCCATGAAACGCTAACCTGCTTAACATCGTTTCACTGGCCAACTGTTTTTTAACATTCACTGGCAGATCCAGGTACTGAACAGCAGCCAAAGATGATGACTGGGCCGCTGCTGCACCATTTTCTTTGGCCGCTGCATCACTGTTTACACCTCCTTCCGCTTCTGCATACAAATTCAGTCGACGTGTTTTGCGAGTTTCCATGTCAATTGCTCTACGAAGCTCTTTTCGGCGACGATCCACTTCACGTCTTAAACACGCAAAAAATTACGTTGAGTTAATTATATATACATATATGTAAGTATTTATGTATGTATGTATGTATGTATGTATGTATGTATGTATGTATGTATGTATGTATGTATGTGCAAAAACCCTTCTGTACTTTCCAGCGACATACCTTGCGCGCCATCCTCGCAGCCCCGACTGAAGTACCACAGTTGCACGTCGCTGCTCTGCAAATTTCTTTGCAGCCAGCCACTTGCGCACATTTTTCTGTATTACAGTAGCGCTCTGTTCCAACAAGGAATCACGTCGAGTTTCGAGCCGATCACGAAGCTCCTCACGCAAAAATACTTTTGTTTTACCTGGAAATCCAAAACATAACAATGAAAAAACCCTTGAAAAAGTCAAAAAGACTGCGCGAGGCATAAAATAATCGACCTATCTGCTACTGTGTTTATATCGTGCACACAATTAGCAAGAGGATTTATTTCGGGCACGATCGTGGTTTGGAACTCAGCAGCCAAGTATCAGGCTTACCGATGCAGTTATGCATTTTTGCAGTTAACTTGAAGCAGTCAGACTGAATAGTTGATGTTTTACAGTTGGACTCATGCTGTCTGTATTTTTGACTTTTTCTTGCAGGCAGAGGAGAAGGGCGCAGGCTGAAGTGGTAGTGTTGTATTCATGGGACCGAGTGAAATTTTAAC